AATTGTTTTGAAAGATTTGTAAATTCTGCATTGACAACAGATACAAGTCGGAGCTTTTACACTCCCACTACTAGATCAGGTGTCCAAACATTTACTGACATGACAAAGGCAACTAATTCAACAGCAAAGTAGGAAACATCTTGACTAGAAATCATATTTCGTCGCGCTCTGTCACTCTGGAAACTGTTCTCAGGCCTCCTATAGGTTCCGTTTTAACTTCACTTTTCCATGAAGAAGGCGCCATGAGGAAATCTGCAAAGAGTGACCTTGGATACTAACTAGAGAGTGAAGTGTCAAAGCATAATGAAATATCTTCAGGTACATCCAGTCTGACAGTCAAGATGGCATGGCAGTACTCCAAATGATGTCAGGGAACATCTTTTCCAGTTTACAACTCAGCAGACTCAGCTGATGTACTGCTTCAACAAGCAGATATTGTTGTAGATGTTTTAATAGGTACGACCATAATGAGTCCATAATGAGTACGACCATAATGAGAGAGAAACAGAAGAAAGATAGAAGATCCATGCAGCCGGTATCAAATAATTAGTGGTCGATGTGTACCACCATGGAAGAAATCCATGAACGTTGACATAAAAGAAAAACAGTCCCTGGTTAGAGTTCTTTGTGACTAAGCAGTACTTCATGGCCTGGACCATATTTGTGGACATCCAGAAAGATGTTGATGCTAGCTGTGGGATTCAGCAATAGTGACAAGACTGGTTAAAAGGAACAAGATGCCCTCTCCATGAAGAAGCAGACCCCTGTATAATTCTTCATTACAAACATGTAGCTATATGGAATTTGCTTCGAGGTCCATTCGAGGCCGGATCAAACTGAAAACACCTGCCAGTGATTTTACTTGTTTTTAATGGCAGGGTCGAGTTTAGAAGATGCATTGTCTGCAGTTAGAATCATCACAACACAATTATATGAGCCTAAAGGAAAACATCAAGGCAGACACAGTAAACTGAACACTCTGGGAGCACAGAAACGATGTGAGTCTTGCATGTGCCTCCATGCGAATACAGTTTCACATGACTTGTACGACGTGCATGTTGGCAAAGCAGAGTATGGATATCTTTCCGTATTGCAAAACAGGTTTTGGATCTCCCTTGGCCATTGGCTTAAGGAAAGAGAATGACAATCTGGAGCATGTGTACTTTCAAGGGGTGATGGCATAAGAGATACCACAGTGTTGTCTCTGCTCCTGAAAGAACTGAAAATTCGGACTGGACGTTTCGCCTCCAAATAATGGAACCATATGCCTAAACGTGCACTTGTCAGTGAGATACAAAGTGGCTGAATCAGTTGGAAAAGTAGACATTCACAGAACACAGAAAGCTGTAGATAAACACTGACAATGCTGTATGAAAATAACCTTGAAAGATTTGCAACATCGTGCACCTCAAAAGGTTATAATTCTAGGAGTCAAAAAGGAATATGTCTCATTTCATTGCAACGTTTGAAGTCTTTGCCCTAGTGTTATCTGATATTTTATAAAAGTTTCCTGACGAAATTGATGCGTAAATTTCCGTAGCGGACGATTTCCCCCAAAATATGATTTTCAGGTATTTATCTCTATTATTGTCTTTTGGTTATTTGATTAAATATAAACAATTCAGAATATGCCTTAACACCATTGGTGATGGAAACTTAACAAAAAATTGAAGGATTTATATATCTAAATTAAACGTCGTAATTATATATTTTGGGGCTTTGGTGGGATCACGTGACATGATTCTTTTTAAAACTGGACCATATCTGGCCACCACATCATGGCCTATGTTAAAGTAGGTACAATAGGCTTTCCAATGAGCCATAATATGCCCATACAAGAGATGGGGGCATTAAACTCCTTAATTTGGCCACTTTTCTTAAAGTCGCTGCTCTCCTATAAGTGATCTATTGATGTAGTTCATGAGTAAGAGTGAGAGTGAGAGCAGAACATGAGAGTGCGTGACAACCCTGAAGCTAAAACCTTCATAATTGTGTGCGAATCCACACATGTTCAATGCAATAAACTGTTGTTTCACATTGAGTTGTACGGGTGCGTAAGTCCCAAATCAATCAAAGTAAATTTAAACCTACTACTATTAATTTTAACTCACTCACTCACTCACTTGAGTTGTACAGTTCGTTTGTCCAGTTGTTGCTCTTGATTTCAGTCACATGATTGACAGGTACAAACTCGGCACTATGTTACAGAGTTTGAATAGTGCTGAGTGTGGCTTTAAACAAAAAACTTTACCCACATACACAGTCATCCATGGGCTCAGTTCAACATGTTCAGTGTTAGAGACTTCGAGAGTCACTACCTTCCATTGCTATAGGGGGCAGTGGGGTAGCCTTGTGGTTAAAGCATTAACTCGTCAAGCGCTGAAGGCCCAGGTTTGATTCTCCACATGGGTACAATGTGTGAAGCCCATTTCTAGTGTCCCCCATTGTGATATTGCTGGAATATTGCTAAAAGCAGAGTAAAACCATACTCACTCACTCATTCATTGCTATGGGAGCAGAACAGACTCCAGGCCCCGATTTCTCGAAACAAACTTAAGTTTTTACTCAAATTTCAAACTGAGGCTGACAATTTGAAACAGCTGAATTTTTAACTCAGCTGCATATTTTGAATAAAAAAGCCCAAACAACTTAAGTATTCTATTCACCAAACTCAAATTGTCTACTATTTTGAGTTTAATATCGATTTCAGTTCATTCTGGGAAATGCAGTTTCTCAAATTTAAGTCAAAACTCAGACTTTAGTTTGTTTCGAGAAATCGGGGCCAGGACCATCATAACACTGCACATGCACCCTCCACTGATTGTGAACACTCAGTGTTAGTGAGGTGTTTATCCATGCACTGGTTCAAGTAGTAAGTCAATATAATTTTTTAGTGTTGTCAATGACATGTTGATAGTGAACTGGGTATAGGTTATCATGGTATCATTGAAGTTATCAAGATAACGATGATGTTGATATGATGTGTGTCACACATGGCCGGTATTACAAGGCTGTTATCACATGGACATGTAATATAGAATGTCAGGACTGTGTGTATGTGACCTGTAGCACTTGTCTTAACATGTTCAATCAGTTCATAATAACTAGCTGTAACTACGTGCTGTACAATAATCTGTTTATATATGAGATCCAACAGTTGTTACACTCATGACTTCACAACAAATTGATTACATATTCATGGAAACCAGAAATTGATTTTTCATTTTGTGACGGCTAGTTTGTGTTGGAAGTTGAAACATGAATTCTCAGCTGTGACAGCCCTTTGGGTTATCCTTGGTGAGAATAGGCCACCGGCATCCTCTACTTGAAAGAGATGACTGTGTCTAGCAGGTTGTCAGATTCAGTTGATTGTGTATTGTAGTTCCTAGATGGCATGGGGAGTGAGTGGTTTGTACGCCGCTTTTAAGAATACAGTGGAAGTTGTCTAAACCGGCACTCGTCGGGACTGAAGAAATAACCCAGTTTAGACAGCGTGCCAGACTGTGGAGCTGACAAGGTTACCTCAGACTAGAACTGAGCTCATATTCACTTTTATTCACTTAATAACATAAACATGATAAATCAACACATTTGAATACAAATCAGACATTTTGGTTTGTTTCTCCTGAATTGATGATTTGAAAGCGATCCGGAATTGACAGCTGCCGGATTGCAGAGCTTTTATATGATGATACATGTACTAGACACGGACGGGACTGAGATTTTATACCGGTGTTGACAACTTGCTGGATGGGACAGCTTCCACTGTATGCAGCAATATCATGGACTTCACACATTGCAGCCATGTGGGGAATCAAACCCAGGCCTTCGGCATTACTAGCTAACGCTTTAACCATTAGACTAGCCAACGCCTCCCAGATGGCTTGGGACCTTGTTCATAGAATCAATCACTGGTTTGTGTGGCCCAGAATTGATTGTGTACAGGTTTTCATCAGATGGCAAGAATTTGAATGACTGATGCTTCAAACAATAAGCGTGAAAATGCCATAAATTGATGCCCTTGTTGACAATATGTCCCTAAACCCAGGTATAATGCAGTTAATAGCCTAGTGGTTAAAGCATTCGCTCGTCTGGCCGAAGACCTGGGTACGATTCCCCACATGGGTATAATGTGTGAAGCCCATTTCTGGTGTCCCCGCCATGATACTGCTGGAATATTGCTAAAAGCGGCCTAAAACTAAACTCACTCACTCACTTGTGTTTAATGTAACCGAAAAATGCCACATTGAACTTAGACCCCTTCTAATTATTGTTTTATGATACAAAAAAATGATACAAAAGTAGATTGAACACATCAAACTATGTCAGCTACAGCAATGCAGTCTGTGCAAATACTATTCAGAGTTTAATAAACCACACACAATTCTACTAGCCTCTGGCTTCAGACAAGCAGCTGAAGTCACAAATTGGGGCATCTGATGGGCTTAGGTTGGGGAGTGCAGTGTTACTTATCGGTAATTCTCATTCTATTTATAGTAACTCAGATGAAGAGATTATGTGTTTCTGAAGAGATTATGTGTTTCTGTTAAGGACACATGACATTTTATAAGGAACTGAATATTGTTGAAATCTTTGCGTCATATACCCGTAATAATTTTTGTTCACACTCTCCAGGATTGGTTTGCACCATCCATTTTTGATTACATCCTACATATTGCAGTGGCACAGGAACTCCTTCAGTTAAAATTGTCACTCAATTTCACCAAGTTTCTCCAGATAACTATATATCCTTTGAATTTGTAAAATTCAAAGTAAAACAGTTAAACATTAAAAAATAGTGTAAGAGGTATTAGTTTTTCTGAATAGTTATTAGTTACAGATGTAAATGTCCTTGCATAGGACACTTTTCATCAGTACTAATCTCTGTTCAGTACTTGGGATTATCATTTTTATATCATGATCCCCTCCTTTATTTGAAGAGTAGGTTTGTTATTGGTTGTGACATAAGTCGCTCACAACAATATTCTTGTATCCTGCAGGCATTTATTCGTCCATTCCGGGAACACCACATCGATCCCACGTCCATTACTCGCCATGATTTTATTGAGACCAACGGTGACAACTTTGCAGTGACTATTCCAGCCTTAGCCAACATGGCATTCAAGTTCCTGACCTACTCACCAGAGGAAATCATGGCCACCTACAACTGGGAGTGCTACGTCTATCTTTTGGCCATTTTTGTCAGCCTGACGAACCAGGTGGGTGATATCAAACACAATCAAGATCATGCAGTTCACTGCAGAGTTATGTCCCTTTCTGATGACATGCTTTATAGATCACTGGTCAGGCTCGCTGACTTGGTTGGCACATGTCAGTCATCGTATCCCAATTGCGTAGATTTATGCAAATCAATATATGCTTGTCGGACCAAAGTGATAATCATTTCCAAACTATGACTCTTTGGCATTTTGTCCCACATCAAACTGATATGCCATGCATGTTGTAGATGTTTATTCATGATTTTAGAAATATTCTAATTTAACTTTAATTCCTGCTTTGAAATAAGGGAAGAAGGTCATTTACTGCACTCTAAGAACCATGTTTTCTGACTCTATGGTGTCCTTTCCTGACCTTGATTAGAGATCTAGCCCCTCAACACTCAGGTAATGAGAGCCTGTTCCACACTCAGGGGCGGATACAGCTTTTTGAGAAAGGGGGGGTGCACACTATTGAGAAAAGAAAGGGTGCACACTTCATTTTTACACGAGTTTCAATGGTCATTTAACAAACTTTCAGCACAAAAGGAGGGTGCGCACCCCTGCACCCCCCCTCTGGATCCGCCTATGACACTTATAGTCCGTTTGGCTCAAAATCGGACAGATGAATTGCAATCTAACTCGAAAACTAATAAACATATAGTACTTAATGAAACGCTGATCATAATTAAAACGTCAGACCAACTCTGTGAGGTTTTTTGCAGAATTTATATCCTAAAAATAAAAAAGTTGTTTAACAAACTATCGTTAAAATATCGACACAATTCACTATGTGTTACGAGGGAGGAGTGCAGAGAAAGGGGCAGCCAGGTGTGCGAGAAAGGATGGAGACGGCACAGCACAGGTTAATGAATAAATAACTTGGTGGGCACTTGTGCACGTGCTTCTCTAACACCTGGCTGTCCCTTTCTCTGCACTCCTCCCTCGTAACAAATAGTGAACTGTGTCAAAATTTTAATGATAGTTTGTTAAACAACTTTTTTAATTTTAGGACATAAATTCTGCAAACAAACCACAGAGTTTGTCTGGTGTTTTGATTATGACCAGCGTTTCATTGAGTATTATATGTTTATTAGTTTTCGAGTTACATTGCAATTCATCGGTCTGCTTTTGAGCCAAACGGACTATAGATGACTTTGACTTTCTGACGTTTACATGTCCACTCACAATACTGTGATACAGTATAGAAGACATATGACATGAGAGATGGCGTATTTGACTGTGATATAAATAGGTACCTGTGTGCAACCAGCTGCTATTATATATAACCTTCTTGTTACAGTTCCACAAGTGGTCTCACACCTACTTCGGCCTGCCTCTCTACATCACCCTGTTGCAGGACCTGCACATCATCCTGCCCCGGAAACACCATCGTATCCACCATGTGGCCCCTCATGAGACCTACTTCTGTATCACCACAGGATGGCTCAACTACCCCCTGGAAATTATTCGCTTCTGGACCACCCTAGAAAACGTCATCGAGTCCCTCACAGGCCACAAACCTCGCGATGATGACCTTAAGTGGGCAAGCAAAAGTTGAAACTAGATGACGTCCTTACCTGTCATATCTCATCTGTCAGCTTCATCTTCGGTGTATGTTACATGACTGTGCTGTCAAGTTGCACAACTTGGTTGTAATTATTCTTCAGGAGTCATTATAAGTTATTCGTTAATCTGCAGATGCATTCTACTCCCTTCGCTTTAGTGGCCGGATATAGATATTTACCATACAGGATGTTGTGTTTTAAGGTATTTGTGCTACAACTGGCCTATACTTCAACTCACACTTATGACAGTTCCAGCAGTGAGATCACTTTGGTAACTAACCCCAGATGTATTTCTGTTATAGATTGTTATCACTGCTAGACTTTATGTTAGACTTGTGACAGTCATGTTTAGAAAGCATTTTTAATTTCTGTAACTCTACTTATTGTTTGATAGTTTTGATATAGGAACAGACTTCACAAGAAAAGTATGACATTCAGTTCCCCTCTGTTCTTTTGCAGTTGTAATTATTTTTCCGAAGTCATTATTAGTCATTACTTATCGACAGGGTTGATGTGTGTACTCTACTGTTGCTTTCATTTTGTTTGGCCTACTTAACTTGCCTGATATTTATTTGCCCTCCAGGTATTGTCATAAGCATCGTACAGTAGTTTTTGCTACGAGTGTCTGTCTCCACTACCATGCACAGACTTACGATCATGGCTGCGTAAAGATAATTGTGTGAGATTGGCTCCAAATTTATTCCTATTTCTGAACTGTTGTAATACATAATGTTTTTGTAGACTTACAGCAGTTGCTCAATTGCTTTTGGAAAGCTATATTTCTGTTTCAAGAACTCTACTTACTTATTTGTTTGCTATTAGATAATGAACACGATTATGATAACGAGATTCTCATCTTCATCTCTAAAAACTCCTGATGTAGATGTCATACTGACTCCTAAAGTTTCTTCACAAACTTTTGTTTTATTCTGTCAGACTCTACTTATTTAAGTTCTCTATCTGTAGTTTCAGTCATTTCTTAATTTGACATGTTATTTGTTCAGTTTCATTAAAATCTGATGTTTTATATAGCTCTCTTCCATAGCAGGTCATGCCAGGTTAATTTCATACTCGGCCAATCATGATGTATGCCTGGAAATGTTTGGTCCAAGAGAGCATTGGAGCAGCATATCACACTTCTGTATTTTAAAAGTGAATATTGACAGGTAGTTCTTGTTGCAGAGTGTGAGTTAGCTGTTCAGATGGAGAGGTGTCAAATCAAAGCATAGTTCTGATTTTCGTAAGAATATGTTACAATTCATGCATATTTATGCCACTCCTGAACAAGATGTGATTATTCGTTTGCATTGTATTGAAGATTACAGAATAACAAAAGTGTATTTTTTAATCAAATTTGTAAAGTATCAATTTCTTTGGCATGTTTCAAATATGTGTAGTAACTTACTTTCTGATTTAGAAATGAGAAAGTGAGGACCCATGGTCTCTAGAAGCTGCTGGCTTTGACTAAACTCTTTCAGGCCTTTATGTAAAAAAAGCTGAAACAAGACACAAATACATCAAAACATAAATATAAATTTATTGAAGGCCATAAGGACCCTCACAAAATTAAAAGTACAGGCCCAACAAAAAATCTCCTTGTCACGGCCTTACAGAAGTCCTATTTTGAAGTCTGGACTGACTCCTAGCCAGCAGTGTTGTAGGGCACAGTATGCTGTATTGATGAAGTACAGATTTAATCTACCTGTAATATTTCCATGTTCTTGGACTGGGATACTAACCAATCATTCTGTTTATGAAATGCAAATTATGTAGGCTGGTTACTCAAACTACATGTTATCATGTTATCATGATCATCACTTTTAGTTTTGCTATGTTTCAGATTTAGATGTGTTTTAAATTTTGACTTGATTACCTTGTTACACATACAGGCACATGTGTAAATTTTTAATCATATCTACTATTCTGTATGATGCATATCGTTAAGGAAATTTGAAAATATGTTTTTGCTCTACCAGACTTGTTACTTAAGCCTAGAAATGTTCTGAATTTTATGTGTCGTATTGAGAAATATTTTTTAATATTTAAGTGGATAATACTAATGTAATCAGCATTTTGTTTTCTTTTGTTTCCCCTTTCTATTTCATGATGTTTTGGGGGCTGTGGGGTAGTCCAGTGGTTAAAGCGTTGGCTTGTCACGTCGAAGAACTGGGTTCGATTCCCCACATGGGTACAATATGTGAATCCCATTTCTGGTGTGCCCTGTCGTAATGTTGCTGGAATATTGCTAAAAGCGGCGTAAAACCCAACTCAGTCAGTCATTCAGTCATGATGTTTTGATTAACATGCATGTAATATAGTGTGTTTAATTTTGTTTGTTTTAATATTACAGGCATCTGAAACTTTCAAACATTTGTAATTAAATGTGAACTATTCTGAAATCTTTGCACTGCTGTACCAATCACAAACTAGATTATATCTTTCAATGTCATTATCAGCTCCAAATATATTGTGTGTTGATGCATCATGAAGGAGGCGGCTATGTATGCTTGACAATGGGCTTTAATTCAATTGCAACGAGTCTGGATTGGTCTGATAAGTGCAATGGTTTGGTTCCAAATTACATCATTGTGACTGACCAATATGAAATCTTTAATAGAGTACTTCAGTGGATAAAAGAAACTTGGCTTTTCTGTACTTAAAATATATGTGACTATCAGTTGAAAAACATTTAGATCGAACTTCAGGAAATTTATTGTGTTGATTTATATTTTTGAATTTACCCATTTTTAAAAACAGTACTTCCTTACATATCTAAGGAAATGGTTTCTTTTGTACTTATGCCATCATGATGTTTTCATATCTTTTTCTAATGTCCAAAAATTTTCACATCATTACCAGTGAAATATCACAAATATTTGACAATGAACATATTTCAGTCAGCACAGAGTAAGTTCTTGCGATACTTCCTCTTTCTCTGACTGCTGAGGAAAATGTCTTGATCCCTCCAGTGTCCTGGTGCTTGGTGAACCGACGTGTACACCGTCAATATTCACACAACACCCACAGTGTACATGCACCGATGCTGTAGAAGTTCCTAAGGGTGATTATACAGACAGCTGTCATCATGCTACCTAGCTGATATTGTTTGTCAAGTTTTTACAAAAGTAGAATTACACTTCTGTTGGTTAAACCTGAAAAACAAATCTTCATAATAACTGAAATAGGGGCAGTTGGGTAGCCTAGTGGTTAAAGCATTTGCTTATCTCGCTGAAGATCCGGGTTCCATTCCCCACATGGGTCCAATGTGTGAAGCCCATTTCTGGTGTCCCCCACCATGATATGGCTGGAATATTTCTAAAAGCAGCGTAAAACCATACTCACTCACTCACTGAAGTGTCCTCTTAAGAATATGGCGAGAGGCGTGATATAATACTAATGTGAAGGTATGTTGTATTGATATATAACAGAAATATTGCACTACAGGTATTTCCTTTAGAACAGAACAAATATTTACAACAGCTAATGCAGTCAAGGTGTGACTTGGACATACAGAAATGTATAATGATACCAATTTGCCAAGATAACTGATGAAACTGTAAGAAAAGTGCTGCAATTCAAATGTTTTGAACTGAAAAACAGCAAATGCCCAAACCAATATGTTGTTCAGAAGATGGTAATTTTGAATGAACTAAAAATTAATCCCAACAGAATTGTTTTTACTAGAAATGATCATGAATACCTATGTCTTAATAAACGTTTACCCACCTTCACATAGAGAAGTAATCAGACAAGGTAAATTGTACATGAGGCATATATCGGTCAACAGACACACTTAACTCGGTATTGCCATTATGCTCTCTGTTTAATGACACAAGTACATCTGCTAGCTGCTATTTCCTTTGCATAAATCATGTATGAATGTACCTACTGCAGACACCACAAACAAGCTAGGTTCTTTGGGTGCGGGGACAACACGGCTATTTGTCAAGTTCAGAGTACAGTTTGAAATGTTGAACCAAGAGCTTTCAGAAGTCCTGTCTGATATTCCTCTGTGACCTGTCACCTTCTTACTGGTATGTCCACCATTATCCTGAACTTTTCAGTGTAGCCATTGTTTTTCCAAAAGTGGATGAAGCTGATGTTAGTTTTACGTGTATATAGATGTATGAAATGTTTGTAACACTGTGATGTTTTACAGTATTTGCATTTCTGTAATTCAGACACTTGATATGATATGGGTATTTTGTCCTTTCCACTAACATGGGTATGTGTACAGTCCAGGTGTGTACAGTCCAGGTGTGCACAGTACAGGTGTGTACAGTACAGGTGTGCACAGTACAGGTGTGCACAGTCCAGTGCACCAGGTGTGTACAGTCCAGGTGTGCACAGTACAGGTGTGTACAGTCCAGGTGTGTACACAGGTGTGCACAGTCCAGGTGTGCACAGTACAGGTGTGCACAGTACAGGTGTGCACAGTACAGGTGTGGTACAGTCCAGGTGTGGTACAGTCCAGGCTTATGAACAACAACAGTTATTGCAACTGTACTGAGGCATGATATTTTCATATCAATGAACATATAGAATTTCTAGCTTTTGCATGATGAGAAGAAAAGCATTATTGTATTATTGTATTTTCCATGTCAAGTGAAATGGAACAGTCCTTGTACTGAGTTGATAGGATAAGCTGTTATCTGTTTATGCATCAAGTATCCATGCTCTGTCATAGTACGAGACAAGCTTGAAGTGATGTGTAACTCGCAGCTTCTGTAGCAGTATTATGTGATGGTGATGGTGTTGTTGTTGCCGATGGTGATAATTGTTGACCAATAGCTGTGCTGGAACACTAGGTCTATTCTCAGAAGTCAGCGTGTATTGAGGGGTGTAGTGTTGAGATGTACTGGGAGGCTGGATCTGTTATAGACGAATAGCTTTAATAATACAGGTCACATCCGGATGATTTCACAATTCTTCTTTTCAGAGACAACTCCAATTAAGATCATTGGGAACATTAATGGTCTTTAATGATGGCCATTAGCTAATCTTCAGCCTCAGATGATGATGTACAAAACTAGTGTTGCCATTTGTTCCAGGTACAAGTATTTCTAACAATGAAAATTAAATCCCATTTCAAGTGAGTGTAAACCCAACAGTTATAGCAGTTGATCTGTTGACTTCAGTGTCTATTGTAACGCCCCCTTGGCTAGGATGGGATTTCCTGTTGTATCAGCCAGCACAGCTCTTTTAACACACAGTTAATTACCCAGTGAAGAAGGTTATCAAACACGTGCCTTGTGAAAGCAATATTTTGACATTGCAACTGTTTTCTAATTTTGCATGGAAGGTGTTTACAAAGGCGGAGCTTTTCATGTATAATTGTCATAAAATGTCTGAAGTAATCAAAGAGTGAGTGCTTGTTGTATTGTTGTATTGTTACTGTTGGTGTTGTTTGTGACGACTGGCTGCACAGTCAGATATGGACAACTGTGTGTCTGGATATGGTTAGTGTTTCCACACATGTATCAGGACTTGGCATTTATTGTTGGGGAAGGAAATAAGGATTGGGTCACCCAAAACATTTTGGGAAGGGTCATGAAAAAGATGTACAATTACATGGTGATGGTCATCCAACATTGTAGCAAGTTTTAGGGGAGGGTCAGTATTTTCTGTACCTGCCCCTCCACCTCAACTCGACATACACATCTCCGCTCGTAGCCCACCCACTTACCCACCCCTGATAAAAATGACTGGTCCCTTTGTTCAGATCGTCAGCAGATGGTTATTGTAATAATAAGTGATGACTCTGTTTCTATTTGTTGTCTGATGGTTTGTGTACTAGCCAAGCAAGTAGTTATGATATTTTTGTTTTTCAAGTTCACAGTTTCAGTTTGGTGTAGATAAAACTTGATCATCCCTGCTTGTTTACTCCAGATGTGTTAGAAGACTGATCTGTTTCATAAATACGAAAAACTGTATCAGATTTATCAACAGTTGAAGGTAATTTTCGAAAACATTTCTTGGAGAAGTAAACATGGTTAAGACAGTGGATGTGATAAAAGCAAGAATTTTATGGATGTAACCTTCTTTTTTGTGATGGACACGTTTCATGAGGTGATGAAGGACTAAGAATATATAGAATAAACGTCATGCCCATCCCAATAAAGAAGTTGACATCCATAACATTCTTGCCTTATATGTATCACTTCTAAATGTCCTTCAAAGACTCCAGTGGATGTGATAGTTTTCATATGCCCGGTGTTTGTGGATATTTATTTAAACCTTTGAGAATTATTGGCTATGTATGTGTTATGGATGTGGTGTTATGAGTCTACATATAGTACTATTGCCAAGAACAAATGTTTGTTGCTGCCTGTGATGATTCTTGAAGGAAACTCCACTCATCAGCTGTGAGAGACAGTTAAACACAAACCTGTCAAGTTTCTTTTTTATTCTCAGGGGAGAATACCTCTTTCCACCGTCAAAAACGTGTTTCTTACAAAATAATTTTTATAAAGTATATGGTGAGAGGTTTGAGATGTTTCAGTCTTTACCCAATTTGACCTCCCTGAACTCGTACTACTCAACAGAAGTATGGAATGCCAATTTTTTCTTGTATGAAAAACGTTAATCTGTTATGTGATGACTAAATATAATCATAGGAAAAATATCAACTTTCGTTAACTTCCTTTTAGTTGTATATTCATGCTGACTGTGTGATTGATCTGTACAAGTCATCCACTCCAGCAGTTCTTAGCAATTGTTTATTATCTATTGTATTTTTAAAAGAGTGACCATGACTTTGACCAAATTATGACTTCTGTATGATTCTAGAAGATAATACATATGTGTCTTCTTTTCTTTAGGCTTAACATTCATCAAGGTTTCTTCACAGCTAAAGTAACAAAATATTTCTAAAGCCAGACAAATCTGTTTTCTTGTTCTGGGGTTATACCAGCCTCAAATCTGCCTGCACTTTTAGAACAGCAAACTTGATAGTTTTGTTTCTACTCATAAGGAACTGGAATGTGTGGCAAGAGGGGTTCTGTATGGGTGTTTCAAGATGTAAGTCTTACTACTGGATATGTATTGCTTCTCTGATAATAACATGAAATGTCAGTGCTAGAGAATATACAGTCTTGATTATCCAGCTAAACAGATTCCATGTGGCATTAAAGCCCAAACAGTGCTGAAAACAATTTCTTGAAGGGATCACAGGAAAATCAGTTTAGACACCAGGTGTTATCGTGAGGATAAGCAGGAGCAGCCTACCGACAGCTCCAACCACTCACACAAAAAGCTTAAAATGTGTTTGTTCCCTGATGCTACACAGCAGTAATCCTGCTATACCACAGCAATGTGTGAACAAATGTACAATTAGTCATATTTGCTTGTATCTTCTATCTTGACATACAGAGAAACCTCATATATCTGGACCCCCCGCATTCAGGACAGTCTGCATCGAAAAATCTAAACGCCACTAAAGAAACATTTGCCAAGGAATTTATCTTATTTATTTTTCGAGCCAGAAAATTAATTATCTCTGTTTTTCTGTGGATAGGCTTGAAAATCTGTAAAACAAGAAGTCAGATTTGTCAGGTTTTAAATCTTTAATTTTGGTTTTTGTAATTGATGCCAGCTCTTGTTAATTATTTATTTCAACCTGTGTACTGTAGTTGTTGTTATATTGTAGGCAGATATCCTTGTTATGAGGATACATATTTAACATTGTAGATCATTGTGTTACTGGTGTACAAAATGTCATACATCAAAATTACTCATAAACTATGTTTTGAGAATTGCTATAGTTTTTAGGTGTGGCAGTCAGTTTTCATATTTTACTGTCACTCTTATTTTTCATTTCCTTTAAATTGATGAATATATTGTAATTATTCTGACTTTGGTTTTATGTACATTGAGCCTTCACTGTTTGCAGTGATGGGTTGACATAATCAGAAGCTGTAGTTCCCAGTGAGACGTTTGTATATTGTATATATGTCTATGATTTGTATGCTTTGTGAGAACGTTATAACAGCGTTGTTGTGTTAGGTCTCTCTACACAGTCCCTGTATTCAGAGCCAGGGAAATGATCAATTCCGCAGTGTTATTGGGCATTTGTTTTCATAAACTGATCTATTGATATATTGTAATTAACAAGAACAGTGATCGTTTTATTCCCATCGAATATGTCAATATGCTTCACTAAAAATATATTGTTGTGGCCATAGGCCTATTTTCAAGGTCTCTAACCATTTTGTTATAAAGGAGAGTGTATCTTACATTTGTTACTGGTTCTGGTATATTGCTTAGTAGTGAAACTGATCGTGATATTGTTTACCCTGCGAATTGTACAATGTACTGACCACTTCGTCTTAAGGTATTTTCTTCTTATTTGGAATGACCTTATCTGTTTGGAGATATATATTTATAAAGCAAGTATTTTTAATAATATATTGAATATACAATAAATTCTCCAACAGCTACTGAAAGTGTAGGGATAGGGGATATGATTTGTATTGTGATACAAAGGCAGTGATGTGATAAATATCTAGATCTGTGATGGTAATTTCTCTTCGGCCCTGTATTCATTACAGCCTAATGATTATGGATGTAATTGAAACACTCAGACATTATTGTTAAGCATACTGACGTCTACCAGTTCTGCAGTCGGTGCTTGATGTGTACCATATCAGTTAACTAGGCTGTAATTCTTCGTATCAGCCATCTGTCCACCACACTTCAAAAGTCTTGTGTTATTTGTTCAGATTTAATTTACAATTAATTAATGGTTAATATCAGAGCTCAAATTTTCGACATCAATGTTCAGAGCCATCCCCAGCACTACTTGTGTGTCCCATGTAATTTTAGATACTGAATCAAGAAACATATTGATAACCCCAGTCTTTTAGTAATTATGATAAATATGTACCGGTAGTACAGTACGAATCATATCCAACTATAAATAGCCATTTTAGTTACCATGGACACCAGATCCGATATACGCTTGACTCCAGTTCGTTGTCACAGAATCATGTATTAAAAGCATGTTACTTTACAGAAATTATTCATATGTGATATGTATGGCTTCTCCACCGGCTTGCATGGATTTGATTGCTTCTACACCATCAGAAGTTATGCAAACATTTCCTAAAGCAATATGTGTCCTGGGCCAGTAACTGCTTCCAGCATCATGATCATGTAACAGAGAAACTACAAACCGTATTCCATGAGCGTTACACATGTTTAGTTTTGACTACAAAGGTAAATTCTGTGAACTGCTTGTAGAGAGATCAGCAGTGTTCATATATGTATGTCAACAATAAACTTTGTATACAAGTTTGGAGGTGTTGTCAGGTTTTTTAATTCTTGAGCATGAGGCAAAAATGATAGTATTTTTGTGTTTTTTGCCTTATGTTTTAAAGTGAAAAGGGAGCACAAATTATTACAAAGGCAGTGTTTGGTTAAACACATATATTCTTAATGTCACAAATAATGATTGGCAGTTGGACGGATGCCACAGGACATGTAAAAACTACTTTTTCACTGTCATCCTTCTGAAAATTTAAATTTAAAACAACCATTGAAATTGTATATGTTTATTCGCAGTCATAATTAAGAGTCATCATGTAATGTACAATGTTACGGAAACATCAAGTGGCACATGGACAATAGTATGACCAGAACATGCTGCATCGCAAGTCTTCACATAATACATCTCGGGGCATCACAGTCAAACCGGAAGACTTCATTTGACTACAGTTAAACAGTCAGTTCAACCAAATAAAATGGAAAATAAAATGGTCAATTCATTATAACATTTGAAAATAAATCAACCCTGAATAAAAATATTGTCAGTGATATAAGAATATAAAACATTCCATTCCTAAAGTGCAGTTACAGTACTGGTTAGTGATTACATGTTTCAGAATTAAGTGTTCCTATGATGATGTTACGGCTGCGGCTGTATGCTGTTGCTGATTGAGCCTGCCTACCCCATCCATCTTGTCATCCAGTATCCAGTGCTACAGATAACTCTTTGGGTCACTGAGTTATGAACTCGCTTGTGTTCATCTCAATTGGGTATCCAAGTTTGCTTTGAGTAACCAAATATATTGTACCCACCTTAATCCAACTCAATTGGGTATTTTGCCATTTTCCATAAATTTGTATAAAAATAATAAAGTTAAAATGATGGTTTACGTGTTTGCTATTCATATTTGATCTGTAATATGAGAAACGATAAGAAAGACTACAAGTAGCCAAGTTCACATGTTGAAATAAAACATCTCAATATACCTCCGTTATTTTATCTATCCACTGGTGCGCAAGCTAAAATGTGACATTTATGTGTGTACGCATGTAAGATCAAACTTATCGAGTATTTTCAAAACTTCAAGCGTACTTGTACCCAATAGACTTAATAGGAATTGAGTTTTCATATAAATATTTGCGTAATTTACGCAGATATGCAGTTTATCTTTACCTCTGAGTATCTATCTGGCATCCAGGACAAGCGAATTGTAATCGGTGTACACAGCTGGTACATGTAAAGTAGGGATTTTCACATAGAAGGCATGACCATACATGCTCATAAGCTTGCAGTTGATTATTTTGTAATAATAAAAGAATGAAAATAAACTTATACTAATGCCATATAACATCTATCATGATCTTACGTACTGCACTGCAGCCTGAGGGATACAGGCCACAGCATTCAGTGTATCAAGAGTGGGACTTCAGGCATCATATTGTCACAATTCAGTTCTCTCTTTGAATCATTGTCTCTCCAGAGTGTGTATTCACCCTGCTAGAACACAATGTCAGTTAATGCAGAGTTGGGATTTGAACACCGTGTCATCTCTTTGGACAGTCATGTCGGCGTGTGAGGAATGCGTGTGTCTCTAAGGTCATGGCTTGGCGTGTGAGGAAAGCGTGTGTCTCTCAGGTTATGGCTTGGCGTGTGAGGAAAGCGTGTCTCTGTCAGGTCATGGCTAAAGAGTAAAGGCCAAGAAACAGTGTTAATTGTCTACACTATAAATTGATTTCAAATTACAATGTTCACAAATTATGAGTATTTCATTACCAAAAGTTAGGTGGGTTAGCCTAGTGGTCAAAGTGGTCCCCTTACTGAAGACCTGGGTTTGATTGCCCTTATGGGTACTATGTGTGAATCGTATATCTGGTGTTCCCTGCTGTGATCTTGCTGGAATAGTGCTAAAGGCAGCATGAAACCATAATGCTCCTTACAAAAACATACAATACTGAGGCTTGAATTTACTGTGGCCAGATGGCAAATAGTTTCTGAAACAAGATCTGTTATATAACTGAAAGACTCAAAACAAAATGTTTCTGCAATTATCCACAACTTTTTAAAGAACAACTAAGCTTTGCATGAAGCTATTCCCAGTTACATCAACAGGATATAAACATGTTATACAACCCTTCTACCTTTTATGTTTGTACATTGTAGAACAATGTGTTCAACATAGGGCCCTTGTTTTGTGCTTCTAGCCAGTCCTAGGAATGTATGTGTGGAGATCTGTCAAGTTTTTGCCTCCATGCTGACATAGATGCCCAGAATTTTTTGCTGTAGTTTGATTTAATGTTGAAAGCAGCAAATACATAATGTTCTAGATGAAGGCTGAAAGACAGTATCCTTGGCTCTGAACTTGTTTGTCTTCATGAGTACTTCATAGGTTTTGCATTTACAGCTTAATGGAGGAACAAAGTATAAACAGAACTTGGATCTGCGATATTTGTTTGCTGAATAAAATGTTACTTTCCTCTTCAGTATTGACAATTTTTACATGGAATCCAAACATTTACTTTGGCTGTTCCAGGGTCTACATGCCATTTGGGATATGTATTTGAGTGACTGGTTCTAAACGTCAGTTTTTGAGTCTGACAAGGGAGGAAAGCCATGCAGTTGGGAAGGTGTGTGCAGGTTGTCAGTGGTTACAGCGTGTGGAAACCTGAGAATCCTTAGTTTTACGCCACACGAAGCAATATTCCAGCTATATGGCGGCTGTCTGTAAATAATCAAGTCTGCACCAGACAATCCAGTGATCAGCCATGAACATCGATCTACGCAATTTGGCTGTTGTGTCAACCAAGTCACAAGTATTGTGTAGGTATTGTCACAGGTATTGTATAGGTACTGTGCAGGCAATGTGTGGGTATTGTGCAGCTATTGTGTAAGTTCTGTGCTGTTAATTTGCTGTTATTGTGCAGGTCTTGCATAGGTTTTATACAGGTAAGGTGCAGTTTTTTTCACTTATTGTGCAGCTATTACATAGGTACTGTGCAGATTTTGTCCATTTATTGTACATGTACTGAGCAACTGATTTCACATATATTGTGAAGGTATTGCACAAAATCACCAAGAATCTTAACAAATCAGATATTCGAAACCAGCAACCAACAGATACCATTTTTTTTGGTTTTGTGTTTTTGTTACTCAACACACAACAATTTTCAGCTATGCGATAGCTGTCTGTAAATAACCGTGTCTGGACCAGACAATCCAGTGATTGACATGAGTATCTGTCAACACAGTCAGGAAACGATGATATGAATTAACCCAATTAGTAGGCCAGAGCACCCATTTCTATCCTTGATCTTCATGTGGATGGGACCTATATACATGGGGTTATTACATGGCATACAAGTTCATGCTTCAAATTGACTTTGGAAAACATCACACAAGCCCAGTGAAGCATTCCAACAAGGTGATGGTCAATCACAGCATCCAGAACATGACATATTGAACACACATGGACATTCATCCTAGATACTCAACAGGGTATACGTTCCAATAAATCTCCACGAGTACCCTGGATGCATCTATGGCTCGACCCGATAATTTTATTACCTCCCTTTGCTGGGTTCGCCCTCTCACAGTAGCCAATCAGATAAGCCCTTACTACCGAGGTTGCCAGTGTCAACAGCAGCCGCAGCCGAGAAGGTTTGCTCGCTTTGTGACTCAGATTTAAAATCATACAGACAAATTGACAATTCTGAAACCTTAAAAAAATATATGCAAGAAACTCCTTATACCTCTTTCAGAGTACCTGTGCAACAATTGCGTTGCCAAGTGTAATCGGTTAAAGATGAAGCCAAAGTGAGTTATGATAGAAGCCTTGTGATTGGTACACTCAATTTCCCCTCGTAGACACCTGATTGGATAAAAAGCCAGCAAAGGGAGGTAATAAAATTAACGGGCCGATCCGTAGATGCATCCAGGGTACTAGTAGAGATTAATCAGAACATATACCCAGGAGATTATCGAGGATGGTGGACATTATGACCGATGATACAGAATGTTTCAGAAGCTTGTGGTAATGTCTCAAAAACACGTACAACAAAGTGAAACATTAAAAAAGTAAGGTCTATGAAAGTACTGTTACAAAACAACAAGATTAACTTACTTGGATTAATAAAAAATACTGACGCAATGCCGTTTCAGCACACTCAGCTTGATAACTATTACAAACAATGATCAGATGATAGTAATATATTTTATACCCCTAACAGCTTGCAACAAATGATATATTACTGACCTTATCCACAGTTGGGATCAAGCTCAAAATGCATTCATGTTATGATTATTCACACAGCACTGTGGCCTCTTCAGGTTAAACCTAAACATCATCTTTACATATGAAAATGAAATAAATATTTGATTTTATCAGTTGGGACAAGTTGATCACAGAAAACATTTATCAGCACTGTTCCACAAAGCCTGGTGATCTAAATGCCGATATTTTATCACAGATGTGCGACAGGAAGTAGCGTGACCAAGACTATGTTGCATGAGATCCAGGACACTTCATTCCGATATATTACTTGCAATACAATATCTTGGAAGTTAAAAATGAACTACCATCATTCAAAAATAATTTGGCACTTGACAAAATATGTTTCACTGAAATAATACTTCTGGCATCAAAAACCAAAAATCATAAATGGAAACATATACTGGTGAGCAGACTGATATGATATATGCTTGCTTGAAAACAGTGTTAGAACCTACACCGAAACGTCGCTCTCACTGTAATAAAGAAGTTGTTCATCTATATATCGTCATCCTTCCCGATATGATACACTTGACTTCAGTTCCAGCGACTGGCGTAGATGCTTGGTTTGTGTCTGTCAGAGAACCTACTCGCTGACACCCAACAGTTGGCAATCCATTTTTCCCCACGTAATACGTCGCATCCTCCATGATACGAGAAGGGGTCAAGGTCACCAATCCATCCAGTCTGCAATACCACAGATGGAGTATTTCAATTCAGTCAAGAATTGACAATGGTACAAGAATCTATATTGAAACATCACACTCACTAAGTGTAGGAGAAGTTGTTATCCAAAACATTTGTCATTATCGTACTTCCCAACTCCTAAAACGTCACTCAAAGAAATTGCCCAGTGTGCCAGCTTCATTAAACCACAGTGGAGTGGAGATGAAGATGAAGTAAATAAAACTCTTGTATTATCAAACTATTAGGAACCATTACTTTTAAATTTGACATAACCAAACAAAGTTCTAGACCACAAGTGGTGGAGACCCCAAACAAAGACCAGTTTCACATGGGTACAATCATTTCTAGTTCATCATGTTGCTGGAATGTTTGTTATAAACATAGACCTAGAGATATTATTAACTTCATATGAAGAAATGTCAGTTCTGTAGGCTAATGGCCAGTGAACAAAGAAAAACCCATAAACATGTGCATAGCAGGGCATTTACATGTTCAGAACATCACATGATCAATCAAGGTGTTACTTATAATAGTCCTTCCTGCCTGACAGACACACAGACAAACGGATGACAGAAAACAAAAGGTTCAGGTGAGCTTAACAAATAACACTGTCACAGATATAAGTAGGCAAATCTGAGCCAGCATCATTACGTCCGACAGAACATGACCTGACCTCCATATCTAGGTGGTTGTTGTACCACATGATGGCCGTCCCCTCTCGTGGCTTGATGACAACTGATGAATTATGGCAGTTCTGACTCAGGTTAAAGTTTTCACGTCTGGACAATAAATTCTGGAATGAAAAACAAAACAATTAATGTCTTAATAACACTTCAATAAGATATTGCATCAGTCATGAGTTTTACGACACAAAATTATTTAAGTTAATAAATTCTGTAGACTCTGCACTAAGGAAGATTGAAATTGAATCTGAAAAATAATTTTTCATCTGAATGCAAAAACTTACATTTTTGCCACAAAAACATTGCGTGTACAAAATCTTCGAGACATACATTATTAACACAAGCTAATATGCAAAGGTTAATGTGAATGCCCTACTTAACACTGATATGGACTTTGAACACACAAGACGTCAGCCAGGAGTGAAGATCATATTACCGACAGAAGAGGGCTGACTTATATCTCATGGGCCACTTTATGCAAGGACATGAAACCGAGAACCAAGATATACAAACCTTTTGGCCTTACTGCCGAAATATAAAAAGGACAATAAAGAATGTTGATACTGTGTTTGTTGTTTAATGCCAGCTGTTTCATAGTGGCGAATAAATAATCCAGAGATTGACATCATGAGCATCGATATATGCATTTATGAAGTCAGTTAGTTAGCGTTACCATTGATTCTAGTAGTCACTGCTTATAACAAGCATGGATTACTGAAGAACAGTTGTCCCTAACGACATTTAGCCTGGGATTACTGAAGACCAGTTCTAACCCAGATCTACATTAAGAGTCCAATTTGGTCACCTTTCCCAGCAAGCAGTGGGGTGCTGAGGACAAGTTGTGTACTGACTTCCCATGAGGGTAGATACTGTAAATTGCATTCACATCAGTGTTACATTGTTCCCTTGACTTTGAGGCGAATGTTATGCAAGTTATGTTCAGGTTTATCTTGAGGAATCAATCGCTCCATTACGGAAGTGGAGGGTGCTGGACATTTTCATGAAAAATAACCTACTTGTAGTTAATGAAAAACTATGAGATTTAAATTTGCAGAATATATGGACAAAAGGAAAAAAGATTCACAATCTGATATACAAATACATCATGTTCTTCCTATGAGATTGTTTTTGGCCCTTGTGTTCTTTTTTCAGGCTCATCTAGGAAAAAGGTGCAGTCAGGCATTACAAAGGTTTATTACCTACGAGGGCGAACATATCAGGGTTCATATTTTTCATACGATGCTCTAGGGCAATATATCACTTTGTCATGGTGACGTGACGTCATGAACAATGCTATGACGTCACGTTTCTTCTGTGACGTTGCATAGCCAGCCTATGTTTGAAAGTGGATTTTGGTTTATTTTCCTCAATTTGACGACTTCGGTAATAAACAGAATATTATATTCATGCCCATATCATACTATGTTTACGACACTCATGCCTAAATATCGGTATATCCCTCGCGCTCGCTCGGGAAATACCAAAATTTAAGCACTCGTGTCGTAAACATAGTATGACATGGGCACTCATATAATATCCTCTATATATAAGACTGTAATATTGGTACTGACACTTAAAGCTTCATCGTCCTGGTCTGCAACAGGGAAGACAGTCTCCCCTCCCTCTTCTACCTGGTTTAAGTACAACAGCACCGTCACATACCTGAAACTCAACAACAATCATCAGAATAACATTGAACATTCATTCTTATAGTGCGGCAACCAATTGAGAACGCTATGAATACAGTTGTCCGACATTTTTTGTCAAAGTCGTGGTGGCTGAGCAGGTTAGGCAGCTGACTTTGTGTGCTGGCGATTAGGTGCCTGACTCTGAGGGTGTGGTGTTGTCAATCCCGGATGGGATTCAACCCAACAAAAGTACTAGAATCTGTATTTTACTAAGAAAGTGTAATCCAAAATATAACATATGTTACATTTGACCACTTTCTAAATGGCATTGTGTATTCTTAGCTTTCGGCCATGGGAGCCGTGCCAATCAACAGTTATCAGAGGGTACACAAAGTCTGTGGTCTAGAGTACCAGTTGTCCGACTTTCATTTTTGTGGAGGCTGCAGTGGCTGAGCAGGTTAGGCATGAAATGAGCCACCCAAAAATGTCATCAGCGCTGTCTAATCTGTCGGTTGGATGTGTCTTGTCAGCAGTTAATCCTGCGTTGAAATTAGTGGTGGTCTGATTAATTGAAATAATCGAAGATTGGTTGCATTGACTAAACGACCAAGCAATCAATCATGTTTTCTCATAATCGAACACAAACAATTTTGGAACACTTGTTTGCATTAACAATATTTTTCACAAGGTTGGTTTTGTCTGTTACATTTCATACGCACTACTAGCTTGTTCCAAGTCATGATTGAAATTATCTTAAAGAGTCCACGTAATTTATGTTCCTAACACATCAGTCATCCTGTAAAGATGTGCAATTTGCCCCTAAAAAAACAGAAAGAACTACATGTTTTTTCTTTATGTTTTGTGCATTAAGAAACATAACCAGGAAAATTTGCTAACCAATTATTGTCGATGATTGATCGGTTGTAATGAACCAATCACCAATTATGAGATTTTAACCAATTCCCAGCACTAGTTGAAATAACAAGGGATTATGAGCATACAGCAGCCAACTGAGAAGAAACAAACCAAAATGTGATGTATCATGTTTATGTTATTAAGTGAACATGAGCCCAGTTCTAGTCTGAGGTAACCGTGTCAGCTCTACAATCCGGCATGTTGTCTACACCAGTTTATTTCTTCAGTCCCGGTGAGCGCCGGTTTAGACATATTCCACTGCCATTTAGAAAGTGGTCAAATGTGACATATGTTATATATGGGATTACATTTTCTCAGTAAAGCAGCGATTCTAGTATTTTTGTTGGGTTGAGTACCATTCAGGATTCGGTCAATTTTCATTTGGTTAAGTCAGGTTGGTTGGTTGCCAGTATTATGAACTCTATCCAGTTGATTTGATGAATGGGGTTCATCAGACAAAAAGAGTGGGTCCCCAAAATGGAAATCAATCCAACCAGCAGGTTTGTCATGTAGTTTATTCAGTACTTTGGCCACATGGCCTAATGTACAACACGACAGAATACAATTTGGCCACGTGTGGGACTTGGTATTAAATACATTTTTTAGATATAATGCAACAGATTTAATAACGTTCATATTTGTACTATTCAACAAAGGTTTCATACTTTGAGTAGCAACGACAGAATTGTTTGGCAAAAATCAAGTCTTTAGAGATGAATATTTGCTACCAACAAGTAGTACATGAAGGTCATCTTCCCTACCACAATAACAATGAGGACAGATTGTATTTAAGTGACTTACACCATTCTCACGCCTTTTCCTGTTTATAGCAAAATCGTGGAGTGATATTCTCATTTTACAGAAAGCTCTTCTCAGGTCTCCATCCTTTAGCGATGTTATATATATTTCCGGTTGTAGAAGGGATAACTTCACTTGTTTATAGTGCTCAAGAAAAAATTATTATTGATTGAATAATGCCAGTCTTGTAAGTATATATCAATGAGGTGCTGCTTGAACATGTAAAGAAACTGTTTCGGATCACCAACATCTTTAACCAGCCATACATAGGAATATCCAGTTACAAACAATAAACTTTGTACATTAGACTCCCAGGTGTGTCTTCCATCCTCGTCCAATTGTTTCAACATTAAATAACAATTGTGTGGATATCTCCGTGGATGAGACGAAGCCAATATTTAGTTACTTTACATTCGCCACAAATATGCATGGTGTAATGCCCAGTTTCTCCAAGAATCGCTTTATTTGCCGCAAAATTAACAACTCCTAAACATCTCTTGAAGTATGACGCATGCAATTTCTCTAAAGATTCCTGGTAAGCAGAACCCTATATCTCAGATGAGTACAGCAGAATTGGAGATATCTTGGTGTCAAACAATTTGTACCAACAGTTTTCAAGTTATTGGTTGAACAAAAATGTCTTCAGATGGATGGACAGAGACAATTCCTTGGTATAACTATGATGTTGCAACATTCTTCTAAACTAAATCATGACTAAAAACCTATAACAACATTCAGAGTTAAGTATTCAAATCTCCATTTTTCAAATTACATATGTAAGTACCCTTATTGATTATATCACCAAAAATAATGTATACAATGAAAAATGTTACAGTTTTGACCTAATCCTGGAATTCATCCTTCTACATCATCTGTTGAGGAAAGTGTAAACGGGCGCCCCATTTAACACAAAGTACACTCCAAGGTAACCATGGTAACCTCACCGACACAGCTGGCAGCACTGTGATGTAGCAGGGTAGCAGTCTCGACTCTGGTGACAACACGGCAGTCCATGAGCCATCTCCGGGCCCGAGTCCACATGAGCGTGGTAGTGTCCCCCCACGTCGTACCTCACCACCTGACAACAGAACAGTATCCCTTCAAGATTTTATGTCAATAATGTTTGTCTATGGGCTTTAAAATTAGCAATGGATTTGTGAAATGTGCGCATATGTTTTTTACTTACAGTTTTTACTTTTATGACTCCAGAAACACAAAAATATATTGAAGTCAGTTCTTATATATATATACATGTATGTCAACAATATAAACTTTGCAGACACATAAAAACAAAACTTTGACACAAACATTATATCTTCGACATCGTTTAGTAGTGCCAAAGCGCCACATAAGTCCTGTCGACCCAGTTGTTAAGCCAATCAGGAAAAAGGAGGGTGTGGCCTAATTATTTTTTGTTTCATGGCATGATAGACACAAAAGAAGTTGCTTTTTGAGTTAATGAAATGGCACTGATTCATATACATCTGTGAGCCAATGCCATCCCTCTTGAACTCATGGAGCTAGGTTCAAGGTTTCTCAAGAATGTACCCACTATAAAGTTTCTTTTAAAAAATCCATCGAATTCAGAAAAATGACTTTGAGATTTGTCACCCAGTTGCAATAAAATCTGCAGTCTGCAATCAACGGCAGTGATAACCTTGATTAATCCTACTTTACTATTTTTAAGATTTGAAGATCTTTGCAAAGTTAGGGTTTTTAGTGAGTCATCGTTACTCCTGGCTATCTAACTTCTTTCAGCATCGTTTCCCATGTAATTCAGTAAATACTTGCAGCTTTGATGCCTTTTTTGAATAATCATATTTTGGGTTCAATTCTCAATTTGAAGGGCCTAATAGAGGACACCTATGAAATAATGATAGACTACTAACAACATTACCTGTAGCCCCTCACTGTCATCAAAGAAGCGGAGAGAAAGTTGTGTGACTGCAGACAGCCTGCAAGATAGAATAACATCGATGTTCCACTAGTGTTCTGATGGTTGAAGAATACATAACACTGCATTCAACAGTAGGCCAGTTACAGTCAAAGTTACGGTTTTTAGGTTGTTGTAGAGAGTTGCATCAAAATGTTACCAACATGTTGTCAGGCTAAAGTACGTATACCCTCTGATATGTTTGTGTTTGGAGAATGGTACCTGGGCATATTTGTGGTTAGAAAAAGGTCCATGGGGAATATTTCACAGCATATGAGACACAACTCAGCAGGTTCATACTACAAGTTCTTTCTACAGTGTAGAAGCTTTTGTTAATTTCTTTTGAGTTCAATACATTTTCAACATTAGGTTCTCATCAGCATTTCTTAAAAGTGGGAAGCTATTCATATTATTATGATTTTTAAAATTGTTTTTTTTTATAAACTGCCACAAGCATATCAATATAACAGTTATTGATGGATGTGATTCTAATGAAGCAGTGACCCTACTGGAGGGATTTTGTACGTGGTGTGTTTCACCAAGTAAAGCAAGAACACACCACTTGCAGTGACTTTCTTTGTATTTTTAGGTATTTGATGACAATAAACACACCCAAGAGAGGGTGTTTAAAGTGAGGATTTATATAAGCATTTATAAAACACAGCAAAACATTAAGGCCAAAGATGTATTACATGGTTCTGTCAGGTCTTCCTTAGTCTTGTTTTTTTTAACTTATTATTTTGCTTTAAAAATATATTTGTATGTCAACAAATGCCTACTTTCAAACTGAGATTATGTATTGCTTAGAGAAGTACAACAAATTTAGTGACATATAAAATAATGAGAGAATGCAGGGAGACAGTCATGGGGCATTATGGTCAGTAAGGAAAACCAGAAGCACACATTTTTTTGTGAGTGTCCCAAATGATATATGGCCAGTTAAAGAACTGGTGTGTTTTACCTCTCTCTGATTCCCATCAAGATTGGGTCGTGATCTAGGTGTACGTATGTCTGCATACTAACTCGAGCAACGTCGGCGCAGGTCTCGGACAGAGTCAGGAGACTCTGTAGGATTCTGTTCAGCTGCCGAGAAGACTCCGCTTGCCTTGAGGCCATTGCTTATGGCAATCTGTCGGATGTAGCGGCACTCCGAGGAGGTCATGAAGTCAGGGATTTCTGTGTAAGGGAGATAACTCTGAAATATGATGCAGGATTGAAATCACAGCTATTTTTCCAAAATGAACTGAAACCCATAGTTGTCTCATAAGTAGACATATGTACAGTAAACTATAATGAACACACTTATAACGAAACTGATGGATATTTTGGGGTCCTGGTCGCTTGCTGTATACTGTAATTAACACGTGTATAACAAACTATGGTTATAACATACTAAAAGTAGTGGCACCTTTGAATTTGGTATAACTGTGTCAAAAATGACTGTTTTTGAAAGAATTTGAAAGTTCAAATTTGCAATAGAACTTACTTAGGAACCATTCAAAGTTTGTGCAGGGGCAGGCACAGTGTTTTAAGAAAGGTGGGTGCAAAGTTCATTTACAACCGTGTTCACGAGAGTTTCAATGGTCATTTAATAAACTTTCAGGACAAAAGGGGGTGGGGAGGGAAGGAGACAGGAGAGATCCGCCTATGTTATGTCAAGAGAGATGGGGGATGATGATTTTTTAAGATGGGTCACCCTATTTTTGTTCTAAGTATAGTGGGTCACCTATTTTGTTCTGGGGCGTATATAGAGGGTCATCAATTTTGTACACATGTACTAGTGGGGGTCCGGAATTTTGTACATAAATATATTAAAAACTTATGCTTAACAATTATGGATTATGGAGATGGGGGAGAGAAGTTGTCATTGATTGTCTCACAGATCATATAAACAGAAAACCCAGCGTTTCGACTTTGCTTACAATTTTGTAAAATCATCTAGTCAGTTTGACGGCAATTGCAACATATTCTCCAAGTGTTTATCGCATTACCAACACATTCCCACCTATGGTGAGGTGAGGTGAAATTGCTTAACGTCATGCTTGAGAATATTTAGCTCACATGGCGGCGTGCATCGCGTGTGTATGTCGCGGCTGCTTGTACTAGCCCAGACAGCTGGTTTCATAGTGCCAGCCCACTGAGATACCATGCGCAGTGAAGCATGAATACCCACTCAGACACATTATACTGACTCGAGCCGACCAGTCCTTGTTGTACCCATTAATGCGAAGCGCCAGGCAGGGACCAACAAGTACCATATTTTAACGTCTTTTTGGTATGAAGCGTTGGGGATCAAACCAGCGACCTTCCGCTCTCGGTGGGGCAGCTCTAACTTTCCACTACACCCGGAGGCGAATGATTACCCACCTATGGACACTTGTTGACATATGTTCATGTTCGATACCCTAATACATCAGTGACCCTTCAATAAACTTGCTGAGTATCATCGGATCCCATTTCCCATGAAATCTGAATTGCACTCTAATTGTACAATTCCGTAAGAGCCAAGATTTATAGCAGATCATGGCATTGCAATATTATTTTGTTTTGTCAGAACAAATATTGCCTCAAAAGTTTTATCTCACTTCAAACTTTTAAACTGCTCCTTAACATCATTCTGACTTCAGCCACATTGTTTGGTTGGACCTTATGTTACCATGGTTACATACCAAACACTGAAGGATTCAAAGCCAGAGTGATCCTTTCATGAACTTTGCCCTCCACCAGATTCAGTGATTCAACATGGCCGACCTGTAAATGACATCCAGTACCTTTATGAGCACATACACTACTCAAATGTAGTTAAGGATCACTTGATTCTTTCATACACCATGACAGATTAACCATAGTAACAGGAAACATTTGGGAGGTCCTTAACTTCTTTTGAGCAGTTACATATAAATGGAGAGAAATTCACTGTTCAATGACAATAACAATGCAAGATATCTGAGATCATTACTATGCTTCACAGCATTTGTTCTGAACCACAAAGGCCTTTTGGAGATTTTTTTCCAGAAAGAGTTAGAACTTTGTCTGCTTGGTGTACACTGAAACCTTTCAATTATCAGAGAATATATTAAATACATACTCTATTCACACCACTCGTATTAAAATGTTTTGAGTCACGATCATAAAGTCACTCAAAAAAACCACCTGATGGCATATTAATAAGTTAGACATGGAATTGTAGTTGTCAATATGAGTTAATTTAGCATAAGAGACAGGTTTGTTTGTTTGTTGTTTAATGCTGCACTCAGCAATACTCCAGCTATATGGCAGCAGCCTGTAAATAATCAAATCTGGACCAGACAATCCAGTGCTCCCAGTTGGTACTACATTCTAATTACCTGGCATGAGACATTTTTCTGCAGTTTTCATTATTTCAAATGTCTCTTTGGTGAAGCATTGTATCCCCAGACCCTTGGCTAACTTTCAGCATATTTATGAAATAAAAATAAATTCATCCCTAAATTATCAAATTATGTAACCTGTACAAGAAGCAAGCACATATTGTATACATACAATGAGGCAGCATTTGATATCACATCATTGTTATTCAAGATGTATTGAAGCAGCCTGTAAATAAGTTAGTCTGGGCTAGTGGTTGATGGGATGAGCACTGATCGTAGCACACACACAGGACTGACTGTTAAACCCTTGTTCTCATTTAGTTGGCTCCAATAATCATAGGCAACTCTGTATCCCTTTAAAATATGTTACATTTGCCATTACACTTTCTCAGTGATGTACAGATTCTAGTACTTTTTTTGGAGTCCGGGATTTGAAAAAAACCCACCCTCAGAGTCAGGCTCCTTAAGGGGTGGTGGGGTAGCCTAATGGTTAAAGCGTCAGCTCGTCACGCTGACGACACAGGTTCGAATCCACACATGGGCACAATGTGTGAAGCCCATTTATGGTGTTCCCCACCGTGATATTGCTGGAATATTGCTAAAAGCGTAAAACCCAACTCACTCACTCACTCAGGCTCCTTAAAGCAGCCATCTAACCCACTCAGCCACTGCATCTGAATCTGTACTTTACCAAAAAAGTGTAATAACAAATACAACATATGTTACATGTAACCCCTTTCCAAATGGCACTGTGTATTCTATAGCTCTTGTCTATCACCCCTGAAGATCAGATTAGAATTGATCTTCAGCCACCCATGCTTGTCGTAAGAGGTGACTGACGGGATCGGGTGGTCAGAACGATGCTCATGATGCTGATCACTGGATTGTCTGGTCCAGACTCCATTATTTACAGACTGCCGCCATATAGCTGCAATATTGCTGAGCATAGCGGTAAACAATAATCCAACCAACCAACCAACCCTTGTCTATCTGGTTCTATGCTTCGTGACCTGACACCAGTTTTCACCCTTACTGTAGATATGACTGAAAATATGATGAATAAAACCGAGGCATTACCTCTGTGTAATGAATGTAATCACTGAGTTTCTGACTGATGAGCATAAACATATATTGAAAAAAGCATACAAGCGTGGCCGAATAGCGCTTTTTTAGTTAATCCAAAAATATTATGCTTGTGTTTTAGGATGCTTAAGAACATTAAGAACATTTCTTCTTTTAAAATATTGCATGAACAATTTCACTAACTTGTTAAAGACACCTTTATCTCAAATAAAAGACATTCTCCACATTTTTAGAATGCCTCATTATAACAAGAATATATTGTGCCGTCGAAAAACGTATGAAGTCTGAAAACATACTAAAACATGAAATGCACGTTTTTAGTCATTAAAATACAATTTTTTCGTTCGACTGGGGTATAAATTCGATGCAGAAGGCAAGCACAGCATCATTGTCTCAAAAGCGACACCAGAAGAATGCCGAGATTGACAGAAAGCAGCAGCGAGAAAGAGCATTGGGAATGTTGGAGATGGCCACCACTCGACCGATTACCGTCGCTCAAACCCTCGGCTGTCACGGCGTAACAGTGTCCAGACTCTCGCCCAACTGATATCGACAGACTGGCCAGACTACTGATAGACCCAGAACTGGCCGACCCAGGGTTACAACAACACCACGCTTGAGGACCGGTACCTGCGCACATTGCACTTTGCGCAACCGTTTCCCCTGACGGTGGCGTCATCGGGCGGCGTTAGCGTTAGGTCGTCGTGTCAGTTGACACACAGTGACCAGGCGGCTTAGAGCTTTTGGCATCAGGGCCTACAGACCGTTCCGGGACAGCGGCTGACCCAGGCACATCGACAGAGACGACTGGAGTGGGTAACTGGCGAAAGTCACGACGATGGCAGCGACGTCAATGGCAGCGAAGTGCTCTTTAGCGACGAAAGCAGATTTCTCTTTATACCCGAAACGATGGCAGAAGACGCGGGTTTTATCGTCGTACTGGAGAACGACAGGCCGCCTGTTGCGTTCAGGAGGTCGTTCCCTATGGAATGGGAAGTGTGATGGTGTGGGGGAGGCATTTGTGGAGAACAAAAAGAGCGCGCCACTGGTCATCGTCAATGGCAACCTGGCGGCCAGAGGGTATATCGATGACATTCTTCGCCCCACAGTACTGCCATTTATGCGCAATCGCCAACAGGGCATCCTGCTTCAGCATGACAATGCAAGACCCCATGTGGCAAGAATTACACAGAACTTCCTTCAAAGCAAACAACGTTAATGTTCTTCCGGCCAGCATGCTCCCCTGACATGTCACCAATCGAGCACTTGTGGGACGCTCTTGATCGTCGTGTTCAGGCCGTCAACATCCCCAACAAACCGTCAAGAACTTCGCTGACACCCTCCAAGAAGAATGGGCGGAACATTCCACCTGCTGGCGTCAGGCGACTGGCGTCATCAATGCGTAGAAGGGTCTATGCATGTCTTGAAAGTAGCGAGGAGGCCATACTACCGCTACTAGAGTTCACCATAGTCATTGCTATAGACTTTTTCTTTAGCAGAAGTTTATGTGTAAAAAATGATAATGAAATTGCTGAAGTGTCGTTAAAAGAATCCTCTGTAACATTGGTACCATATCGTTATTTATAATTGTTGACAATCATCAAAAACTTTTTATGTCAGTCGTCTCAATAAACTTTATTGCATGTTTCTAGTGTTTGTGGTTTCTTCACAGGGTAATTTTGAAAAGTTGGTGGCGTTTCTTTTGTACTTGAGTTTATATTTCTTGGACTAAATGTAACCAAGGTGTATCATGACAGCTGTGGTTTTACCATGATGAAGCATTAGCAAATGACATAACTGAAAAGTACCAACAAGTAAAAAGGGGAGGTGTAGTGGTTAAATGACAGCTGTGATTCCCCACATGTTTTATCATGACAGCTGTGGTTTTACCATGATGAAGCATTAGCAAATGACTTTTTATGATGAATAACGTCAATTTACACCATTGGTAGGTCAAGTAAAAAGGGGCGGTGGGGTAGCCTAGTGGTTAAAGCGTTCGCTCAGCATGCCAAAGACCTGGGTTCGATTCCCCACATGGGTACAATGTGTGAAGCCCGTTTCTGGTATTCCCCGGAATGATATTGCTGGAATATTGCTAAATGCGTGTAAAACCACACTCACTCACTCACTCTAGTAAAAAGTCTCAGGATTTGTTAACTATTGTTGAAACACAGACTAGAGAGAGTGGCACTTGTCAAATTGTTAGGCTGGCTGCAACAACAGAAGGAATATGATACCTTTACTGGATCAAGTCTTGTAAGCTGCTCAGTTCTAGATTCCTGATCGAAACATTGATGATCTTTGATCTTGGAGTGTCCCCATTCCTGCGGGTTGTCCTTCTCACAGGAGCGGTCCTGTACATGGGTTCCTGCGAGGGATCCTGCGTGGGATCCTGCTGACCACAAGCAGCAGGTCGTCCATAGCAGGAGGATGCCCAAGGACTGTCTTACAGTCATTCCTGATCACTTCTCTGGCTTCATTGAATCTCTCCTCTCTGCCCCTACAAAATATATTTATAATATGATAGATATCTCAGATACTTATTTCAGAATACAGCAAACATTTTAAAATGAGATGAACAAAATATACTGATATGCTACATTTCAAGTACAGCATGGTTGGATTGAACTATCAATGTACTACTGGTCAAAATTAAGACTGACTGACTGAGTTTAGTTTTACCGCTTTTAGCAATATTCCAGCAATATCACGGCGGGGGACACCAGAAATGGGCTTCACACATTGAGCCCATGTGGGGAATCAAACCCGGGTCTTCGGCGTGATGAGCCAACGCTTTAACCACCAAGGCTACCACACCGCCCCTCAAAATTAAGAAAGATTACACAATACACAAGAAAAAACATATTTTTCATTAAAAATACTACCTCTCAGTTGATTGTGATTGATTGTTGTTGTTTAACGCCGCACTCAGCAATATTCCAGCTGTATGGCGGCGGTCTGTAAATAATGGAGTCTGGACCAGACGATCCAGTGATCAAGAGCATAAGCATTAAGTTACGCAATTGGGATACAATGACATGTGTCAACCAAGTGAGCAAGCCTGACCACCCGATCCCATTAGTCTCATCTTATGACAAGTATGGGTTACTGAAGACCAATTACTTTCAGGAACATTGGCTAGGGCATAACTGGCACCTCAGGCTGTTAACTCTTCATGGTTATTAAACGTTAAAAATTGCAAACCTGTGTATAATGATATACACAGTCTTGTTCAACCATGCAGTAGCTAAATACTGAATATAGTGAAACATGAGGCATGTGTTCCCAATGAATATTGTAGTATAATCATCAAATTACATAGTCCAGCCAGCTGTAGCTGAGTCACAAGTTAATTTGATGTAAATCCGATATCCACTAAACATATGTGAGTGCATTTTATGTACAACCTATATTGTTATTATATATATTATGTGTGACAGTGACCAGTAAATAAGTATGGTTGGGCTAGAGGTTGATAGCATGAACACAGTCATTATCATTTAGTTGAAATAGTTGATATGATTTTGGTTGGTTTGTTGTTTAACACCATTCAGCAATATTCCAGCTATATGGTGGCGGTCTGTAAATAATCGAGTCTGGACCAGACAATCCAGTGATCAACAGCATGAGCATATCTACGTAACAGGGATACAATGACGTGTGAATCAAGTCAGCGAGCCTCACCACCCGATCCAGTGTTAGTCTGATATTCTGATATGAATATGGACACTGTCACAAGTAATACACTCACATCTTGGCATTGGCTAACATGCACATCTAGAATTGGAAACGACCACAGGTAGATGATCTTCGTGAGCAACTATAGAGGGCACTGAGTCTTATGCTTTTTAGTAATTGAAATGACAGCTTTCAGATAATTTGGCATAAATCGTTTTTATTAAAATGTCCTCTTAAAAACATTATCAGGTCATAGAAAATAATCATAGCAGAAAAGTTTATTGATTTTCATCGCAAGTATCTAATCAAAATCTGATCAGTAATCACACATGCATGTGTATTATCAGCTGATGATGTAGGTGTATGAAGGGTGTCACGGGAACCTTGAACACTAACCTTAACGGGTGCGTATAAGTGACAGCTCCAGCGTGACAGAAGATACGTCATCACATGTGTATCTGCGACGTTTACAACAGATTCGATCTTTCACAAGACTTCTGTGTCGGGAGGCATTTGGCTACAAGTTCACAAATCCCTGCAATGGGAAGCTTATCGATTAGAGCCTCGCAGTACAGACGGGTCAGTGTGACATTACCCTACCGAATACAGCCGAACTATCACTGGCTGTCTACAGTCGAGCGAGCAACAGCCCAGATATCGTAGCTGCCTTGAAATGTCACCGGTGGGCTTACAGCAACACGTGTCATTGTTTACAAAGGGCGATAACTCTCACTTGTGACAACAGCTGCAGTTGACAATGTTGGTAAGAAACTAAGCGGCTGTAAAATCTGGTAAAAGTGCAGTTGAAACAGCGACTGTCGATAACGAGACAAATTAAAAACCAATATAAAATGCTTAATATCCATTGATGTGTCCTATGCTTGATGTTTGATGTCAGTTTTGTAAAGAAGAAAAAGATATTGAAATCATGAACACATTTGTCCGCGATCTTTTATTTGGCTATTGGTACAGGTGTATTTGTTTTTCTTTATGTTTCATGGAAGACGCTGGGTTTGTGAGAACCTAAATAGATCTGAGAGTGAGTAAGTGAGTGAGTTTAGTTTTACGCCGCGGTCAGCAATATTCCAGCTATATTGCAGCGGCCTGTAAATAATCGAGTCTGGGCCAGACAATCCAATGATCGACAGCATGAGCATCGATCTACACAAATAGGAGTGGGAGAGTTAAGATTTAAAGTCACTTCAGCAATATTTCAGCCATATCATGACTAAATCAAGTTATAGATTTATAATGATTAAAAGTAAATTATTAACACCTGCTAACGAAGGACAGTAAAACAACAAGACTAACACAGATATGAATTTAAAACTAGTAATTAAATCTAAAACACTTTAGCTATAGAGGACGATACAATATAAAAACAGGCTGTAGATCGCCAACATCTGAAGGTAGATCACCATACTAAGGACCATGGGGACTTACAGTGTCTTTCTACCTGCATGGACCCAAGTTGGATTTACACCATCCCTTCAACCGCTGGCGATTATACGAACATGTAGCCATAATTCAAAATAACAAAGATACTACGTTTAAAAATCCGGTAAGTTTAAATTTACTTTGAAGGTTTGGGGACTTACATACCCTCTCAAGGAGGACACTAATTAAAAAATCAATACAGTTAAGCAGGACATGCGTGACCGTGATTCTCTCATCACAAGGGATACAAACCGGATGATCCTCACCTTTTAACACGTATGCATGAGTATATCTAGTATGGCCAATAAGACATAGAGAATCTCACCCAAGTGTCTACTGATAGCAATTATATCAACTAGAGTTGATAAAGTTACAAATATCCGAGGCTTGCCGAGGATATTTTTACCTTTATCAATGAGTGTTGATATAATTGATATCAGTAGACACGAGGGTGAGATTCTATTTATCATCAAAAATCATTCTTCATTAGTTTTCAATCAAAAATGTACATCTCTCAACACTGTACTACCATTAGACTTGCAGTGCAGCGATGTCAGAGCATTGTGATGTCATCAAGTTGATGATGTCATAGCATTGTCAGGGCATTGTACCAAATCTACTGTCAAAACGATATCTCCTAGGAGATATCATACGATCTTACACAAGCGATATCTCCTGTGGAACACAGTTTTGGATGATAAATCGTCGTATCATGACCTCTTCCAATCTGGATTGACAACCCAAGTAGGTGTAACAATATAGGGTTTTATTTCATGTAATTTATTGATACCTACTTGAGTGTCCCACTTCTTCTGCATCAGATCACAGATGTACGATCTAATGGTAGCTTTGTAATCGGAGTATGGGATCAGAAGTGATGTTACAGATTTGTTGAGTGCTGCGCTAGCAGCAAACTCGACCATTGTGTTACCAGAGATTCCAACATGGCTGGGCAACCAACAGAGGACGATGTCGCATTGGCTAGTAGCAAGATCATTATATTCAATAATTTCTATTAAGTGGATGTTTACAAGAGACACTTTTAACAGCCTTGAGACAAGAACGAGAGTCAGAAAAGAATATATATTGTTAATGTTTAGGTGTCTTTGAATATATTGAAGAGCCGTTAAGATGGCGTTTGCTTCTGCTGTCAAAATAGAGCTGTTATCCGGTAATCTAGGAGATATTGTTCTGGATCCAATGACAGTGGGACAAGCCACTGCGCCATCATCCTTGGACCTATCTGTAAATAAGGATTTGTATGTATTATATTTACTTTTTAATTGATTATATTCTTGTTTATATTGTAATTCATTAGTTTCTGATTTCTTAAACTTTGTCAGTGTTAGGTCAACTTCAGGCCTGACCAGTTGCCAAGGAGGAGAAGAAAGAAGACGGGAAGGAGATATGTTTTCCAGCTCAATGCCGGCAGGAGAAATGAATGGTTTGATTCTTCGCCCAAGAGGCGGAACAAGAGGATTTGTTGTACAAATCGTCATAAAGAGGATTAAAGAGACAGTTAAATGCAGGGTTATACTCGTTAGAGTATAGTTTTGTAATATATTGTAAAGGTAATTTATATGGCGCTGTGTAAGAGATGGTTCATCTGTCTCGACGTAGACACTGTCGCGAATGACATGAATTTAAAGTTCTGTGCAACCTCGATATTTGCAAACGTTTTGATTGACAAAAGATTCAGAGATTGCTGTCTCCGTGCAGACTTGATCAGAAACAAGCCACTACGAAGATGGGTTACATTCGTAACTTCACCACACATTCCAGAGATAGCTTTGACTGATGACAAATGGATTGAGCTTTAATGGCAGAGAGATATTTATACTAGATTGCTCAATTTCATCTAGGCGTCACTTCTTTTCAAAACGAGATGAACCAGATTGTTTTGAAACCATGATAGGAATAATTGATTCAGCGCCCATGCTCCCCATCCACCACGGAATGTCAACAAGGACAGTGTCAATTAGCGCCGGATATCCAAGATGCCGACACTAGGGATACAGGGGTGTTATACTCCAGAGAATATGACATGAATAGCTGTATTTATCTGCAAATTTAATGACAGACTGGTTCAGCCATTGACAAGAAATTGGAGACAAAAAATTATTCAGAGGTCAACATCAGCAGATTGGCCCATGAGCCTCCGCCTTCTGGCATAAGACTCCAGGCAATTACGATCACTCAAAGCCCAAATAGAATATAACACCTCAAAAGTTCTAAACAAAACAGATTTTAGTACAGGAATAGACATGACCAGCCAATTGATAGAATCGGGCCCATTCTACCACCCGTCAAGGGTGAGGGCGATGTGGTGTGTTGGGCAAAAGGAACACGGTTCCAGGCTCCTATTGCCCTCAACCACCAAACTCCCGGCCTCACCTGACACAGGGGCGAAACCCACGGCAAAGAGGTTGCCCCATTCGGTCGCCTTTTACGACCAGAAATGGGGTGCTGTGGACATATTCGACCCCGGGTCCACACGGGGGCGAAGAGCTATTAGCGTTACCCAGCACCCACCGCGAGGACGTTGCTCCTCAAGGGTGCCTGGCTTACACAATTGGGAACCGATGACATGTTTCTACCAAGTCAGCGAGCCTGACCGCCCGATCCCGTTAGTCGGCTATTACGACAAGCCAGTGATTAAAGTGCTCGCTCGATCACACCTAACATTTGGGTTCGAATCCCAAATATAGGTACAACGTGTTAAACCTACTTCTGGTGTCCCAAGTCGTGATCTGGCAGGAATATTGTTAGAGGCAATTTGAAACTTTTGCGGCAATGTATTGTTCCTTTTTTTGCTTTCAAGCAACGATTACACAAGCAGGCAAATCAGAGGGATGCCCTGTACTGTTACACCACGCCACAGTCAGTGAACTACCCTGTACTGTTACACCAGACCACAGTCAGTGAACTACCCTCTACTGTTAAACCAGACCACAGTCAGTGAACCACACAGTACTGTTACACCACGCCACAGTCAGTGAACCACCCTCTACTGTTACACCAAACCACAGTCAGTGAACTACCCTCTACTGTTACACCATGGCATAGTCAGTGAACTACACTGTACTGTTACACCAGACCACAGTTAGTAAACTACTCTGTACTGTTACACCAGGCCACAGTCAGTGAACTACCCTCTACTGTTACACCTGACCACAGTCAGTGAACCACACAGTACTGTTACACCAGACCAGTGAGTGAACCACCCTGTACTTTTACAGCAGGCCACAGTCAGTGAACTACCCTTTACTGTTACACCAGGCCAGTGAGTGAACCACTCTCTACTGTTACACCAGGCCAGTGAGTGAACCACTCTCTACTGTTACACCAGGCCAGTGAGTGAACCACCCTGTACTGTTACACCAGACCACAGTCATTGAACCACCACGTACTGCTACACCAGACCACAGTCAGTGAACTATACCCAGTACTATTACACCAGGCCACAGTCAGTGAACCACAACGTACTGCTACACCAGACCACAGTCAGTGAACCACCCTGTACTGTTACGCCAGGTCATATTCAATTAACCACCCTGTACTGTTACACCAGGCCACAGTCAGTGAACCATCCTGTACTGTTACACCACGCCACAGTCAGTGAACTACACTGTACTGTTACACCAGACCACGGTCAGTGAACCACACCGTACTGTTACACCAGGCCAAAGTCAGTGAACCACCATGTACTGTTACACCAGGCCACAGTCAGTGAACCACCATGTACTGTTACACCAGCCCACAGTCAGTGAACCACCATGTACTGTTACACCAGGCCACAGTCAGTGAACTACCCTCCACTGTTACACCAGGCCACAGTCAGTGAACTACACTGTACTGTTACCCAAGACCACAGTCAGTGAACCACCATGTACTGTTACACCAGACCACAGTCAGTGAACTACCCTCCACTGTTACACCAGGCCAAAGTCACTGAACCACACTGTACTGTTACCCCAGACCACAGTCAGTGAACCACCATGTACTGTTACACCAGGCCACAGTCAGTGAACCACCCTGTACTGCTACACCAGGCCACAGTCAGTGAACCACCCTGTACTGTTACACCAGGCCAAAGTCAGTGAACCACCATGTATTGTTACACCAGACCACAGTCAGTGAACCACAATGTACTGTTATACCAGACCGCAGTCAGTGAACTACCCTCTACTGTTACACCAGAC